ATATATATATACCTAAGTTGAGATTCTTCATAGCGTGCGTGACTCTCAAGCATGGGCGTCCAGGTTGTGGTCATGTGCAATGTACACCGTGCGACGTAGATAGCCGATGCACATATCAGAGAAGGTTTGTAGTTCAGAGCTTCATCTTCAACCAAGCACAACTCGACCAAGAAAAATGCTAGATGTCCAAACTGGCAGAAGGAATTCAATTTCCGTTTGAAGAAAATCTTAGAGACTGAGTGAAGAAAATCAAGAGATCATTGTGGAATTCCCATGTTTACCTTTTTGTCTGCTTGGGAGGCCCTGAGAAACCGTAGCATGAAAACATAAGGAGTTGGTGCATTTAGGCGAAACATTAACTTCTTTAAAACAGCCTTCTCCTGAAGAAAAAAATTGAAGTTACTCCATCATAGGTCAATCCCCATTTGCTATAAAAAGAGAAGAATATATGTTACGCATCGTTCCTACTAAAGAATTACATAGGAGCATTGATACTAATATCAAAACAGAGACCCATCACGAATTGGAATTTGTACAGGCAGTGCTTACCATTCCCAGCATTTGTTCTCTGGTGTATGACTCGGCTGATACACTGAGCAAGTCCATGATCTGTAACCAGGCAAACAAATGTTTTAAGTGTTGGGTTACAGGTATTGACTCAGTAACTAGAGTGCAGTGAGGGTGCCTAATTATTTTAGCAAGTATTTACCCTCGGATGCCAAAAATCCTCATATTTTGATGCCAGCAAGAGTGCAGTGAGGCCAACTAGCTGCAATTCATTTTTCTTGATGCATACTTGGGAAATATACTGGTCTAAGACAGTAACCATGAGAAATAGAGTCTCTTGCATCAAGTCAAATTTCAGATGAACCTGTTAGATTGGAAAGTATTTTCAAAAAGATACAAATAATGCCATGAAATCAATGAAAATATATGTGCAGAGTAAATAATTAAACACAATGTGTACTTCGATAAGCCAATTTATTAATATGCCACGCATATGAGGTGTAATTTCTGTTTGAATCTCCATGTATCTTCTCAGAGGATGATGCTGAGCCTGTTATTTGAGATTGGCAACAGAAAAAGGTCAAAACTTTTATAATTACAGAAAAGGTTAATGCTTAATAACAGTGACAAAGATAAAATTAGTATACAAGTAATGAATATTTCTACCTCC